CCATTTTAAATATCCATGTTTCATGCTATAAAAATTTAAGGCAAATCTGAGGTGGTCAAGCAGAAATTGTTCCAACAAAAACGCACTCTGGAGCCCTGTTTCATACCAACGTACATCTCCGAGCCTGCCGTCTAATTAAAACCATTTATCTGAGTGTTCACATAAGAGGGTCTTTTTGATCGGATGCATTAAATACCTTAACTGACCCCTGACGCATGCATCACACTTCCTCCAGATATGCTCCTCACTCCTGTGTACTTCTAACTGCAAGCGCGCAACCATAACTGAGAATCTGAACAATTAATAGAACAATAAAATGGTAAAAACACACACATAATTGCGGGCGTTTCAACAATCTGCCTGTTATGCTCGTCTGGTTTTGAAGAAGACTCCAAAACACAAACCGCTTTCAAATGGGGAAACACAAGATTTTCCAGCAGGGTGTTTCCTCCTACCCCCTTATTCCTGATGCTTTAAACATGCAGTCAGAGGTAACACATCATTCTTCCCTGACTAGAAGCACAAATCCAATCCTGAGGCCACCAAACTGGATGCTCTACTATTTGATCACACACCCATCGGTAGCTCGTGTGCTCTCACTTTAATCAAATAGGATTGTGACAATATATTTCGCTGCTGGGCGGCTGCTCCAAAAGGAAAACTGTGCTTTAGCAGAAGTGTTTGTTCTGAATTTTAAAACAGTTACTTAAAAGGCTGCTTCCAGAACAGCTGGGCTCCCGGTTTGTACATTAAAGGCATTTCATCCAAGGCCCTGTAGCGCATCATGAAAAAGTAAACGAATTTTAAAAATCAATAGCAAAATGAGCAAAGTTAAACTCTGACTTGTGCTCTTCTGGTCTTTGTTTGGAACTCAGAGAACTGAGATCTGGATCAATGGCAGCTGATTTGTGACTTTTCGGTGATGGACATTGTGTGCTGTTGTGAAAGAGACAAAGACATCCTGTAACAATATATTTTTCAGATGCGGAACAAAGTAAATGCTATTTCTCCACAAAATAACTCAGTGGTTGCGTCAATGGATTGTATATAAAAGGTTCTTAAAAGTGAAGTCAATGTGCAAGCGACTTAATCCTGCATTCTTTCTTCTGGCCAGCAGGTGGCGACTCATCTCGTTGCATAAAGAAGTCTGACTGCACAGAAGCCTATGAGAAAGTGGCGCAACTTCTCTCTTGATATTTTATCTCAGCAAACTTTTTTCTAACGAGTGAATGGTCTCAATTATTAGTTTCAAGTCTATTTACAAACACCATGATGCTAATCTTGTAAACTATGGTCCCATTTTGAGTAAAATAGATAGTCAAGCAGGATTTTAGATGGTTATTGACAAGTCAGTACCGTGTGGGCATGCGTATTGTCCTCGAGTTCTGAGTCAGATTTACCACTCGCTCAAAAAGTCCAGCGACTTTTACATACTGTCTGTGGTTCCTTTAAAACTTTTTAAGTATGACACTCGTTCATTGTGAGCCTCAAAAATCTGGTCAAAGCATCTAGAATTGCTGTGTCTACATTGTTTTTCTTTAAATCACTGAGTGCAGTTAGGGAAAGTAACCTTTTATAGTAGGCACCCCCACACCATGATGGTGGATTTAGCACCTCACGAGTTCAATAATTTAAAAATATGTTTGAAGTGTTTTAGAAGTTGTTGCCATTTGGCCATGCAGATTTTAAAGTAAGGATGAATAAATCATTAAAGGATAGACAGATGAAAAGATGGATGTACAGATCGTGTTTGGAAATAACTTATAAATAAATAAAATCTAAAAAGAGCACTAACCTCAGCATGGATGGCGTAGGAGGCCAAGAGCACAGACACCTCAGGAGGACAGTAAATCTCTTCCTCGAGGATCATCCTCTTCACCTGAGGAGTTACCAGAAATAATCAGCATTAAAACATGTAACCACCGGAATAAGAAAGTCCTCTTCACCTCTTCTAACACAAAAATGAACTTCAGAACTAACAGCACTAATATTCTGTGACATTCACATCTTCAGTGCTGTAAAAGCAATGAAGACAAGCTGGTGTATCTTCTGTATTACAAAGTATGTTTTGAGTGTTATTCCCCATTTAGATTGATTTCTACAAGAGGAGCAAAATGACACTGAGAGATCCACGACCAGAATCATATTGACAGCTGATCTAACTTGACTCCTACACAAGGGAATAGAACTTATGAGAGGAGAGTGACAGTGTGGGGGAAATGCAACTTTCTGACAGCTGCGCTTTGACAGCCAGAACTGTATTCCCCGAATCCCAGTCTGACAAATATGGGAAACATATTCAGCTAAAACAACAACAAAAAAAAAAACCCTGAAAAAAACTGTTCTGGTACCAATTTTCAGCCGACAAAAATTCAAGTTTTTATCGTCTTGATGGACATTGTCGTCTTTGTTGATAGATTTTGACAGGAAACGTTTGATAGACTTTGATACTGTGACGACAGGTATGCGATATATTTAAAATGCACAACAAGTTTATACATCAAAAATGTCAATAGATATAATATTTCTCTGGTACAAAACAAGAACCCCCTTGGCTTAGGGAGCTAGTATCCATTAGCACAAGTAACTTCTTGTAGGCTGTAAGTTTTGACAACTCTTCTAGCAAAGTTGCTTCAACTGCAAGATATATGGGGTTTTTTTGTTAGGTTTTTTTGCACGTACGGCTGCTTCACATCCCCTATGGGGGGGATTTGAAAAGGGACTCAAATCTGAGCTTTAGATAGTCCATTCTAAAACTCTCTAAACTATTTCTTCTTTTGAGGCTTCCTTGGTGAATTTGCAGTTGTGCTCAGAATGAATCTTCTGTTTAATGGTCTACTTCTGGTTCAACTTTCGGACAGATGGCCTCACGTTATCTTTAAGAACTCTTTGATATGATGCAGGATTCACAGCTGAATCAATGACTGCAAGCTGCTCAGTCCCTGAGGCAGTAAAATAACCCCAAACGTTCACTTTTCCACCATGTGTCACATTTTTTAGGAGGTTCTTCTCCTGTATAGGGGGGCATTGTTCTGCACCTCCCGTGCAGATCCAATTTGTGCAATCACTTACTGATTATAGACACATGCATTAGCCGTGAATAGCTGCAGAGATATCTGCAGGTCCTGTGATGAGATTTCTCTAAAACTTCATTTTGCGTCAAACAGTGTGCTCGTTGAGTGCATTTCCAAAACGAGTCCTGAACAACTTTGCAGTAGTTTCAAATCTATACCACTTGTAGACAAATTTCCTTACAGTGGAATATTTTTATTTCAAATAATTTGAAGATATTTTGAATCTCTTGCTAGACCTTTTCTGAATGACACCTTAGCAGCACGGAGGACACCAGGTCCAAGTCTGAACATGACACCTAATCTGGAACCCCAGATTTTAAGGTTTGACTGTTTGATAAATACGCAAACTTTTTCCATGTGACTATTTTTCTTTATTTAAATTGTGACAGCCGCTTGAAGAATGTGCACTTCATGTCATTTGTTTAAAATTTTAACTTAATATGCAGGCAGTGTTTTCAAAAAGATCATGTGTTTGCTTGAAATATGCTGACAAACCTCAACAGTTTCCATGGGATGTATTCGTGTTCTCACTTGACTGTGTAATACTCAAACTGGGTAACTAAACTTCTACCCTCTGCTGCTACACTCCCTGGTAGTTGCTCATTTTAGAGAGGTCTGGAAACCGGGCAAACTGTGCCACATAAATATTGTAAAACTTAAACATTATAGTCACATGGGGACCTATTAGACAGTAAGCCGGGAACTATGCACCTTAACCAACAGCATTTCACATGATCATTAAGCTGCTCCAAGAATATCGGCTTGCTGGTCAGGAGACCATAATGATACGACAGAAAGTCTGAGAAAAAGCAGCAAATGGTAATTAATGGAGAACAACGCCCATTTTTATAGTTTGTTATTTCTGCATCCCCAGGATAGTGGATTTTGTGCTCGCCCCAGCCGCTAAGAATGGCAAACTCAAGGTTTAGGTTTGCAGTTTGTAGCCTGAGGAAACACTGGTGCATGTTTACATGTGTTGACTTAACTGTCATGGATCCCCAGTAATAACATGAATTCTTAAAATGGCTGCCAACCCCCTATAACAAGCTCCCCGCAGATTAAAGTGCCGCTTTTCACCAGGTGTCACAATCCGAACTCCAGCTGTCAAACTAATTGAATCGCAAACTTGCATAACTACATATGGAGCACAAAGCCGGATTGTAAGGTTAGGTGGTGCAAACATGCTTCTGCGGTAGTTATATAAGCTGGCAATTTAATGCTTCAAACCTTATCATTTGCAAAGCCAGTCATGCTGTCTTCTCTTGTTTTGAACTAACAAAGGTGTGGAGCCAGAGGTGACAGCCCCTAATCACGGCAAGAGGCCTGAAGCCGCACTCCAGTTTACAAATGAGACTGTGCTACGATTTGGAAGCTGAAGTGACAGAGATGTGCATGTGTCTGTTTGTGTAAGTGGCCCACATTGTGTGAGCAGTGCGAGTGTGTTTGTATCCGGGTCGGCGATCATTTCTGATAAGCGCTAATCCAGCTGTCATGCCTGTGACACTATCTGAACAGAGGCCGGCTCCTGACATTATGGGAATTAATGAGAGCAAAGTAATAAGAAGACAGGCGAGGTGAGGCTCTACGCATTTGTATTCTTCTCTCCTTGTAGCCGTGTGCTGCCTTAACTGTTGAGTAATTTGCCGGCTGTAGTCTCTTCTTCTTCTTTTTTTTTTTTTCTTTAGCAAGGTTCCCCTTTGAAATAAATAAATTACTTCAACTACCTTTAAATGGATTAGAGACACAGAGAGACATTTTATATCCCTTAAGCAGATAAGTGGCTCTATCCAAATGTTGGGGAACACAAGAGCACTGCAGTCTAAAGCCATATAACTAAACCAGCACAATGGGCTGGATATGATGGGAGTGCTATGGGGGACGAGTATCCCATAGAGAGTATGTCATTAACTGGGCCAATAACTTAGCCCTTAAAGCCTAATTGGTAATTGATAAATGTGGCTGGTGGCACTGGACGATGAGAGCACAGTTACAAATCTCATCTCTTGCGAGGGGGACTGGTGTGGCAGGTTCTGCAGGAATTCCCCAGAGAGTATTAAGTGGATAGAAAGGGCAGCAGTAATATGTTGTGCATTGATTCCACATGGCTGCACACAATCAGACCGGGACAATGGGGGGGGAAAAAAAAAAAAAGTATATTACAGAGTGCTCTGTTCGACAGTTTAAGAAGAGAAAGTCCGTGGGCGCGTGCCCCCCGCTGGCACTGGATTGGAATAGTAAGGAAGCCACAGATAAGACACAGCAGCTAAATGTATCCCAGTAATAAATCCAGAAGCAATTTGTTAAAATCTTTTAATGCTTAGACCAAATAAGTTCTGAATCGTAAGGTGTACATTCCAAATGTAAGCACAGTGACAAAGCAGCAGGTCAGTAGGATGTATTTTTACCTGCAGGAAGAATAAACGCTGCGTGACGTCTTCCAGTATCTCCAGCTCAACATTTTCAGGATAAAACATGATCACGAGTCGAAAGGTGATTGGCTCCTTCATTGGCACTCCCTGACGCCGAAACTGCAGCAATAAACCAAAAGCGTCAGCACTTTGCTCAGCTAAGGACTCAGTTCTAACAACGCTTTACATGGCTTGTGACAAGTATAACATGAGAATCACCGTCCGGTTCGGGTTTAGCCAGAAAACTGTGTTGTTGATGCTGTACTGGAGCCCAAAGAACCACGTCTGTCTCAGTCCCAGAAGGAGGCCCACGCTTTGAAGACAGAGTTTCGCCTTAGACGAGTCCTGAAAAACAGAATTGATTTAGTCTTATATTTTGTCAAAGGAGAAACGCTTAAAAATTTGTCAGATTGAGAGTGCTTATTCTAAAGAAACGTATGTCTCGGTAGGTTTAAATTTATGAAAGCCAATCATAAGTGCTGCGTCTTCTGAATGAAGACATGAGGCCATTTCTATCATCACCTCCTGGTTCATAGCAGGCAACCACACATGTTCTCCTCCAGCTGAGAACTATGATTGAGGCATATCAGGCGATATCCAATTTAGATAGCTTTCATCTCTAGCCTCTGTGCTAACTCAGGGGGCAAGCTACTGTCAAGTGCATTCAAGGTTGGCATGAAAAAACTGAGCCAAAGATTGCAAGACTCAAGGATATAAACTGCAGCATGGAGGGCAGCCCGGGCCAAATCAAGAATTCCTACGCAAGGCCGAATGACTACTCTGTTTGTGTGGCCAATTCTGGCTAAATACTATTTACTAAAACCCATAATTGAAGCAATCACCATGTCAGCGCAAATAATGGAGACCTGCAACTAACATTATGCTGCTGTGGCAGATTTTGGTGGGGTTCCTCCCTTTTAAATAGCAAGCATGGTGTCTGCGAGGAAATTTGATGCCTTTCAGTACTGATATATCACGAATCAAGTCATAAGATGAACCAAAAACACTGCAAGAACAAAAACAATGATAAAACCAGCATAAATCTTTTTTTTTAATTCACACTTTAGGTAGATGCATTTCAGTGTATCCCAGACTGCTGTGTCAAAATCTGTCGGATTTCATTGCTGCATAAGACAGAGATGAATTAGACCAGATTTGGTCTCCTGTAGAGCACATTCACTAAACCAGCTGCGTGTGTGCACAGTTATTTGCTGCCATCTAGTGTAGAAAAGTCTAAATCGTGCACATTATGAGGCGCTGCCATCCACACTCAGCTGTACTTTACGGTTAGATTGCAGCTGCATGACAACAGTTAGCAGAAAGGCTTGTATGTACTTGTTATTGATGCTAGATTGACTGCAAATGCCCAGAGCTTGTTTGAAATAAATTGAGCTGGTGTTCTGAGACACATACCTTGTAGAGGAACTCCAGCTCTGACTCCTCAGTCTTGACACAGACCGTGTAGACGCCTCGCTTTCCCAACAACGAAGTGGTGTTCCTAGTCCGCACTGTGGACTCTGCCATGGCGAAAAGCACATAAACTAGCAATTCAACGATTCCAAGTTCGTTCCTACCACTATCCTGCAAAACTGAGCGCTCCGTCGAGTCATTTTATCTAAATTATTCACTCCAAGGCGGAGACGAAAGATGAGTCATTTTGGCGAAGCATCAAAACAGACGCACAGGTGTGAACGTCACTTTTCATCTTTCAGCGGAAAGATGCTTAACTCCATCAAAAAGTTTACATAAAACTTCCACTGATATATTAATGGTTATTGAATGGCTCATACATTGTGTACTTATGGTCTTTCTTTTTGTAGTTTTACCTACTGAAGAAAAAAAAATACCTTCGGCAGGTGAATACACCGCAGTGTCCTGGACTGGCTGCTAACGGAAGCTAGCTTAAATTTAAAAAAAGAAGAAAAAAAACTGTATTCACTGTACGTCGTTGTTTTTGCGCCACATTTACACATGTTTATACACTTTAGTCAAATACATCTGCGTGTCCAAGAAATTATTCAACTAATAAAACCCTTGTGTAAACTTTAAAACACGTTTCAACATGTAAACTATGCAGTGGACGAGCAAGCTTACTGCTGCCAACCGTTTGACAGCAGTTAGCTGCGATGCTGCGTTCAGGTGCAGCCCAGAATGTTGCCCTAACAAAATTTAACAACATTTTCCATCATTTTCTGATATTTTAAAGGCAAAATATATTTTTTAACATAGGAACTGACAGGAAGATTTAGTTGAGGTCTGGAAACTAGACAGTCTTCTGCCCGTTTTGAATTTATAAGCTAACTCCAAAATGCATTAAGTTCAGCTGTTCAGGTGCTTTTCATTTTAATTGTCTGTAAAACATATGAAGTGCCTAAAAAACATAGTTTCTTTTGGTTGTTTGAGATCTGACACAAAACAAGAAATATGTCATCGCCTTAGGCCATGAGGAAAGTTTATTGAACATTTTTTGCAATTTGTTTTGACATTTTAGAGGTAAAATGATTTTAAAAAGCAACATAAAAAAACGGTTGCTCTTTTTGAATTCCTAAGCCGACTCCAAAAAAATCCATAAAAGAATAAGCAAATTCAGCCGCTTTTTATTTTAGATTGCTTTCCTGTAAAAGAAATCAACCATTGTATACACAGTTCCTTCTGATTGTTTATGATCTGACACTCTTCTTTGCCGGTTATCTGTTGTCTATATAAAGTTCCCGGGGATCCTGAAGGCGACAGCGCTTTCTCCTTTCCTCTGGTCTGAACAGCCAATCATAGCCACAAGCCCCGCCCCTAGCCCGGCCCCCTGCGCCATAAAGGGGCGGCGCCAAAGCAATGAGGTAATCGGGGTAAACAGTAAAGATGGCGACGTCTGTAGCCGGAGAGGAGCAGCCAAGTCTAAATGGGATTATTTCCGAGCCCCAGACTAAAAAACTCACCGACCTGCCGACCGAGTTGCTCGAACACATCCTGTGCTTCCCCGTCCTCAAACATGTCGACGTTTGTAACGTTTCCTGCTGCTGCAAGCGGCTACACGACGTCTGCCACGGAAGGGGAAAGGTCTGGGGACACCAGTACAAACTCAGGTGCTATGATTTTTCTTTTTGGTGGTATTTCCGCGGAGCGTTGGGTTCTATTGTTTTTTTTTCAGTTGTATCTACCCAAAGAAATATCCTTATTCTTTGTACAGTTGCCGTGTTAAGAGCCCTGAATCGCTCTTCCCGAGGGTGGGTTCGTTTAATGCGAACTCACAGGCAGCTGTCAGCCGATGACATTCTGCTGATGCACCAAATTCATCATTACGCCAGGGCCGGTGGCAACCTTCTATTCTGCAGACAACTACGAATCCTGCAAATCTTAGCGTTTATGTACGCGACAAGCTGCGATTTATGTTTTGTTTTCACCACAGCATCCATAAACAGATCTGTGTGACCTTGAATGTTGGGCTACGTGTAGCTTGTGAACTGCAGAAGAGTGCAGCTATTGGCAAAGGCTAAGCCCTCCTCCTGACTCACTTGGCAGTGAGCTCCACTCTTTTCTCTTTTTAGCAAAGAGGAAACCACGTATGCAACAAGAATGGAGGGGGGGGCAGGAAATGAGACTTAATATGTGCAGCTTCAGATAATAGACTGCTAATCTGATGGATGTTCCCATGAGTGTTTCTGAAATAACACAAATTTTACTGCACTTCATCAACAGATGGCCAAGACTGCAGAGGTTTTACCGTCAGAATGAGAGCTGCGACTGGCTCAGAGAATACAAAACGCGCCACAGAGTTGGTATACAAATACGAAGGACCGTGGAATCCATCTCAAAGAGATTCTTCACAGAAGTCGTAAGTAATCAAGAATACATTATCAATAATGCAAACATGGTTACATTCGTTAAATAGATGAAATGGAATTGCAAAAGCATTTGGCTGCAATAGTTTCAAATTTTCCTGCACAGATGCGCAGTTTGAATAAGAAAAAATTACAGTTATTTGTGTTTGTGTGTGTGTGAGTGGTCTGTGTGTGGGTGCAAGACAGAGTGTCTTTTCTTTGTTCCAAACTAACCCAGAGATCTGTAACTCAGCCTTGCGTTGGCCAGGTGCTGGGAGACAGCTTTGCAGAGATTGAATCACTTGGGATGCCAGAGCACTTCTGTGAAGATGAGCTCCTCTTCATACTCAACTCAGACAAGAGGTGAGAGCAGCCCACAAACTACATTGTGCAGTCATTCATGGGTTTGAGTGTCTATTCTCATGTTAATCCTTTCATGGATTATGAAACTCTTGATGCATTACCTCGACTGTTTACCGTACGTCTCTCTTCTCTTCTCCACCCGTCATTAGGAAAAGCTTGACACTGAAGTACTATGCAAAGAAAATCCTTTACTTCCTGAGACAGCAGAACATCTTGAGGAGTCTGAAGACCTTCCTGGAGCAGCCTGCAGAGCAGCAGTCAGCTTTAGAAGGTGAGTCACTCAGTGTTCTCCGTGCATTATGTGGCCTTATACATCTCCAGTGTTCATGTTATTCGTATTCAGTGCTTATTATTATATTGTTTGTGGTGATAAGAGCACGATTATGCCATTTAACTTACAGCTTTCCCTTTATGCTTTCCTTCTCTTTTTTCCTTCTGTAGGTGCTGTACTGGTGGACCAGTATTGTAACCCTCTGGCTGACGTCACCCTGGACAGCATATCAGCCCAGTTGGATGAGATCACAGAAAAAGTGAAGAAGATGCTGAGAATCAAGAACCCGTCTCACCCCAGCCTGCGCATCGCTCAAGGTGGGTTTTCAAAGCCTCACAAGACTTGAAAAGAAACAGTTGTCTTTTTAGGACTTTTGTTTTTCTCTCCAGCTATTTTTATTTTTATTTTTTTCAACAAGATTCATCAACACCAGACACTAAAAGCCCCAAGGCTTGGGCTTCCACTTCCACTGCAGTCTGGGAAAAGTCAATAACAGTAAATCTCTTGGGAAAAGATGTCAGCTGCACAAAATCTATATTTTCCCTTTCAGGCAAAGTTGTGATGAAGTTTCATTTCTTGTGTGTTGTGTAGGTAACTGCTCTGTCGTGGAGGACTTTGAGCTGCAGAGGCAGGTGGTGTGTGCGCTGAACTCTGTCCTGTATGAGCAGCTTCAATACAAAGGCAATGAGTGTGACTACTACAACCCCCTCAACTCCTACATCCACCAGGTCTGCCATCCAGAATATTATGTGCCTTATAAGTTGCAAGCTTTTCAATAATTTCATAATACATTTCATTTTGGATTTAACTTCTTTGTTTTCTATTTAGGTGCTACTACGCCACACAGGCATTCCCATAAGCCTCTCTGTTCTCTACATGACGTTGGCCCGCAAACTGGGTCTTCAGCTGGAGCCTGTCAATTTTCCCAATCACTTCCTGCTGCGCTGGTGCCAGAAACCAAGAGGGTACTGCTTAAACATTTAAATCTTTTATTTCCATGGGAACATAACCTACAATTTAAGCCATCATTCAAGTAGTTTGTTGTACTAGGAAGATAGCAGTCAAGTGTCTTGATACAAGTTTTTACTTTGCATATTTGTGATGAACCACATTTACTTTCATTGTCCTGGGTAATGTAGTGTGTCTTCAGGAGTTGCACAAACCTTCCACACAGGATTGTCACAATTCCATTGAATTTCAAAGCCACTTCATTGTTTTTATCAAGGATTTAGGTTTTGCCATGTTACTGTTTTTTTCTATAAAGTTACCTTGGCCAATAATTGGTCAGATGAATTGACTTCTATCCCCTTGAGACATTTACCAACAATAGACACGAATGATGTACAGTGACAATTGCACGAAAGAGATGTGAAATGGAGCTGCAGTAGTTAGACCAGACTTTTTAGAGGAGTGTCTTGAAAATATGTGCCCGGGAGTTTTAAAAGCTCAAAAACTATCACAAACACAAACACACAGGAGCACGTACACACACATTTCCCAACCTCATCCACAGCCAAACAACATGTTGCACTCAGGGAAGGCAAAAATCTTCTCTCGCTTTAGTATTCATAATAGTCTATACTATTTCTTCTTTATTTATTCCATTTTTTTGAAAGTATATAGCTGGAACCGGTGGTGCAGTTTGTGAATTCATTCAACTTTATCCCTGCAGGAGTGAAGACATCTACGACTTTGTCTACATTGATGCCTTTGGCAAAGGCAAGCAGCTGACGGCAAAGGAGTGCGAGTACCTCATTGGCCACCAGGTGACGGCAGATTACTACAGTGCCATCAGCACCACGGAGGTGCTGCTCAGGATGGTGGGGAACCTGCTCAACATCGGCAAGAGAGGGTAAGACAAACTGAACACCTGGCTGCTCACACTGCAGAGTCTCTTCCACAGGAGAGGGCTGGTAGACGAATGATAGATGGATGCAAATTTCTGCCATGGGACTGGTTATTATTAAAGAAGCGATGGATTATTATTATTTTTTTCCCACAAGAACTGCTTTTCCCCAAAGTAATACCATTTTAATTTAGTCGTGTCATCTGACAAGACTGCAGAGTGCCTTCTAGCATCACAGAGATCAAAACGGTCTCGAAACTGAATAAATGATTTAGAATACATTTGATGGCTTGCCAGAATGAAATGAATAAATTAATGCTATCTTCTATTTGAGTTATATTACCTGCACTGTGTGGTTACTTTTCAGGGAGGGCAATGAGAAATCCTACCAGCTGCTGAGAGACTCGCTGGACCTCTACCTCACTATCAACCCAGACAACGTGCAATACTTGCTGCTGCAGGCACGGCTCTACTTCCACCTGGGAATCTGGCCAGAAAAGGTCAGGATACACAATCCGCTGTTGGGAAGAAATCACATTTTTCCCAGTCACAACAGAGCTATTAAACTGAAACTCTACCGGTGTTGTGTGTGTCCCCGCAAATTATGTTTTTAGTGTGTTTTCCAGATTCTCAGATTGAATTAATTTCACCAAAACCACCAGGCACAGAGACAGTCTCTTCCCCCAGGCTGTTACCTGATGAACTCTTACTAGTCACACAGACTCAGGAACCACTGTGCAATATCCCACTCCTGTGCATATCTGCACTACTTTAAATGTACCACACCTCTCCTCAACTTTTACCTTATTTTTAGTAGTTTTTCTGATTACTGTACACAGAGAGCTAAGATTCACCAGAGTCAAATTCCTTGTTAGCATGTACAAACTTGGCCAATAAAGTTGATTCTGAAGTTCACTTCATATTGAATAACAGCCATTATAAAGCGCTGACTGTTATACTGCTCTTGCACAGTAGTTTAATATGTAAGATGCTGCATTGTTGCATAGGACGACTGCACTCGGAGGTCACAAATTTCACCTAACTACATTGCACATTGATGTTTGTTCTTGATCCCAGGTGCTGGACATCCTACAGCACATTCAGGCACTGGATCCCTCCCAGCACGGGGCAGTGGGTTACTTGGTGCAGCACACGCTGGAGCACATCCAGCACAAGAAACATCCAGTAACTCCTGAAGTGAAGAGGCGAAGTGCTCCAGAACACCTGGAGGTCCAGTATTCAGTCGGCCTTATTATGAAACACAAGAGGTAGGTCAAGCCAAGATGTGAAACCCTTCCTGTAAAGATCCATCCTGCGTTGTCTTCCTACATGCTCGAGCATGTCTATTTTGTTCCACCTCCTCCACCAGGTCAGGGTATAACTGTGTGATCTACGGCTGGGACCCCAAATGCACCATGAGCCAGGAGTGGATCACCACCATGAGGGTCCACCAGCTGTCCAACGGGGCTAACCAGCCTTTCTACAATGTCCTCGTACAGGACGGAACATGTCGCTACGCAGCACAGGGTATGAATACCACTCTCTACGTATCACCCAGTAGGAAATAAAGTAAAATAGCCAGACCCAGATTGTTTTTTTTTTTCTTTCAAAGTCAAAAAGTTCATATTTATGTTTATTTAATTTTACAGAAAGGCAAAAAAAAAAAGACAGGTGGATGTCATGTATGTTGACATGCATGCTATTGCTAATTATTGGAGAGAAAAACCAAATGCAACATAAGCATCAAAAAACCAGCAACATTTCTCACAATATATATAATGTCTCTTTAAAAACTCAAACTTTAATTTACCAAATATAAGGAAACTGCTGGTTGCTAAGACCACAAAAAAAAATCCAGCAAATAACAGAAATGTTTAATGTAGGGTTCATACTGTGTACTAAAACATGAGGTGTTGATCCAGAAATAGTTCCAGTTAACACACTAGTAAGACTGATCATTGTCTATGCTGGAAGTGAAGCAAACCCTTCAAACTTTCTCAAGGCAACACTTCATTGGTGCTGCATCACTTATTTTATTTTTTTTTGGTGGTGGAGGGGGGAGGATTTTCTTTAGAAAGCCAGTAGTCCCTAATAGCCTGACTCGCCTATTCCCCTGTGCTTACTCACTCACTTTGCCGCTGAGTTTGCTGCTGCTGCTGCGACACAGCTTTCATTGTTTGTACGTGTTATCTCTGCTCTCTGCACCACCTCAGCATTCACCTGCCGACTCCGGTCTCTACAAACCTTGAGGTGGATTTTTATTGATCAACCTGGGCTTTTATCTGCTGCTCAGTCTGCTTTGCAGCAGCTGACATGGCATGAAGCTGTGATGCCAGAATAAATTACGTTTGACATCTTCTCGATAAGCTAAACTTTTTGATGTGAGAGTAGACTTTATGACTTGGTTTTGGATGTACAGTTGAATTTAATTGTGAAACACATAAATCTTTGTCACGAAAAACAATCATGCCTTTTTGTTCCTTTATAGACTTATTATAGGTCTTCTGGAAATATGACAATCCGCTGGGTCAAAAAGTAAACATACAGCAATGCTAATATTTAGTTAAACATCCACTGGCCATTTCCACATTTACTGGGTGCTTCTGGTCGCTGTCCACATGCTTCTAGTTGTATCTTTGACCGCTCTTCTTCACAGTTGGTGCAATTCAACTAAATTTGGTTTCTTTCTGACACACCTGTTTCTTCATGTTAGGAAAACTCTTCAGTGGCGTCCTAACTGCTCCAAATCAGCACACAGTCGTCTCTCAAGTCAAAACAAAGCTTTACTTGCAGCAAGGAGCCAACATGTACAGTACAGAGTCTGAACAAGTGACCGACTGAAAGCATGAAGCATCGATTCATACATACAGACAGTGAAGAGAAAACAGAAAACAACCTCCCACAAATGGATGAGAATAGGCACAGTTCTCGTGGTGTTTTGACTACCCACTAAAAACAGCTTGTCCTTATCTCACACTCACAAGGTTCAGCAGAGGTAATGGACATTTACAGCATTAACTCATAGACTTTTCACAAAGACCATTGGATCATAACACTTCATTATAGTCCACAGTTTTTCAGTTGGGTTTAAGTCAGGACTTTGGGGACACCAGTCTAAAACCTTAATTATAGCCTGATTTAGCCATTTCTTCATTCTTTTGATGTGTTTGATGTCACTGGCTTGTTGAAACACCTACCTGCCTTGTAGACCCAACCTTCTGGCTGATGATTTTAGGTTTTCCTGAATGTAAAGGTAATCCTCCTTCTTCATAATTTCCATTTGTGTCACCACAAGTTCCACTGGCAGCAAAACAGCTTAAGACCATAATACTGCCACCACCATGCTTAACTGTAGGTTTTTGTTGTTATTGAGGTTAAACTCGTCACCTTCTCTCCTTCAATCATATTTCTGCTCATTGCGGCCAAAAAGATGTACATTTTTTTGTTTCATTTGACCACAGAACTTTTCTCTAGAAGACCTTTGTCCATGTAATGCTTCTAGAAGAAGAACTTCCTTCTTGCATGGCAGCCTCTCAGCCCACGTTGATGTAAAACACTGTGGACACTGACGGCTTCTAATTCATTGCAGACCTGCTTTTTGGTGATTTTTGGTTGACTCTTGACCATAATGGCTAGTTGTCTCTGATAGTTTGTGTTTTCTTCCTGATGGTGTTCGTGACACAACTGTACCTTGCACTTTATGCCTAAAAACTATTTGTTTGAACAGTTGATTTTGGGATCTGCAGCTTCTTTGTCAATGACTCCAGGTGATTTTCCTGGCTTGTTCAAGTCAATCATTTGCTTTTCACCTTTGTTTTTCCCACTGTTTGTGTTTGAGTCTGAGTGTATCAAGTGAGCCCTGTTTAAATTGACTCTGAGGAGTCACCAGCTGTAGTCAATCATAATCACTCACAATAGGTTTAGAGGACATGAGGCTAAGAGAATTCTATTACCACATCGCTCTACATCACCAAAACTATTCATTTAAATTGCTGGATGTATATTTTTGAACCAGCAGATTTTGTTGTATTCCAGAAGACCTATAATAAATCTCTAAAAGAACCAAAAATGCATGATTGTTTTGTGACAAAGACTTGTTTCAATCATTTCATTTGTACAAAATTAAGATTTATAGGAATCATTGGAAGCTCAAGACTGCCATACATGCTATACGGGGTCTTTAGAAGTGTATGGAAACTTTAGGTCACAAGTGTATGTTCATCATCGAGGGACAGTTTTTAGTTAAAATTCTCTTTCTTTACCTCAGTTTAATTGGTGTCTACCCTATTTAAATTTACATTAATTGTTGTCATTCCTCAGAAAACCTGGAGCCCCACTCAGCGCCCTTGGAGATTGGCCACCCAGAGGTCGGTCGCTACTTCTCCGAGTTCGCTGACACCCACTATGTTGCCAATGAAGAACTGCAGACACGATACCCAGAGGACATGGATGAAACCCTGGGTACAGTGCAGGAGCTCTACCACAGACTGACGCCTGGCTCTGCGAACCAAGAGGAGGCTCCTGCCACAGACCAAAACAGCCACCAAGCCATGTCCATGTAGCAAGGAGCTGTATCTGGCGCTTTGTCGTCCAACTACTACTAACCAACTACTGGTCACCCATTCTCAATTCACAATCCACTTAGCTGCTGCTTTGTTGCACTTATTCAAGTCTAGGTCGTGTGTATCAGAGAGGTTCTTTTGTTTAGAAAAAAAAAAACAGTATTGTTATTGTTGTTGCTTTGATACACATATCCAAATACCACAATGTATTTGTTGCGGAAAAAAAAAAAAGTTCAAACTATAGAATGATATGATGCTTGTTGGGGAAGACATCTTCAAATCCAGTGACAAGCCTGAAAAAGTATTCAAACTCAGAATCACGCATTAGTATACACCATGAAGAAGAAGAAAACACATTTGGAATAAACAGTTAAGTGGACGAGTAAATTCAGGATGAGTATCCAGGTGCTGTAAATCCCCCCTTTGCCTAAAACCAAGGAATGCTCCTTTACCCACAACCCCCTGCATCCAGCACCAGTCTACAAAGCATATACCCTAACCCCCAGGTGCAGTGCCACACGAAAGACTATAAAGAAAACACTTTGTAAATTAACTTTTATTCCCCATCTTTTAACCAAGTTTCATGCACTTACGAAAATCTAACTTTCACATTTCTAGATATTTTTTTTTTCTGTATATTTACAAGTGAAATGTGTAGGATGCCATGGCTCATCAGTGTCTTTAATGGAAAAACTAGACGAACCAATAAGGACACCAGTGACTTGAAACAGAAATGACTCTGAGCTTTGAGGAAACTAAAAAGAAAAAAATAAAGCGTTTCAAGTTTTAGTAGTTCCTCTCTGACTTATTTTGCACACCAAGTGAGTGTATGCATTGCTTTATTGTTGTAATGCACAATACTAACCACTATTCACTGCAGAAAGTCCACTGACGGGAAACAGGAAGGCAGCAGGTAATTTATCCATAAGCTGTATGGATTTAGGACCTTGAGGATGCCAGATGTTTCCAGGCCGCCTGCAGCAGACTACAGTTGCACTGAGCCGCCGATAGCAGCGCGATAAAGCAGCAGCAGCACGGAAAAGTTTATCCAGTCGAACCAGCTTGTGCGCCTTTACGCACCGGTGGAACAGCAGTGATGGGAGCTTCGCAGACGCGCGCCGCAAATAAGTACCAGGACCTGACGGAGAAAACTGGATGTAAGTACGGAAAAGTACATGGGTTCATATTTATTGGGGACTGTGTAACTTTTAGTGTGCGGCGCTGTTTGTATTGAATGGTTCGATTTTGGTGAAATTGGGTCGTTGAGGAAATGAAAGGTGCGACAGGTACCTTGACAATCACCGATCATTGTACTAAAGGAAGTTTTTTGTTTTGTTTTTTTAAAAAACTATCCATTAGTAATTAGATAGTTGAGGCAAATCCTGCTTATATCAATAAACGAGGTAAAATTAAATGGTGTAAAATGGTGAACATTTTACGCATCATATGCCTTTTTTTGTCCACACCCGCTAGTTTCTATTAATAAAGTATTTCTTCACACCAACAATCCATGCTATGCGGGAGTTACCTTAACCTTTTACAATAGTTGTTCTTGCATTTATTTATAGTGCAGGTATATTTACTTACAGTGTAGTATAGTCTTTTTTTCCTTTCTTTCTTTCTTTGCACGGTCAAGTTAGCAGAGTTCAGAGGTGCTACAGGTTGGGCCAACTGCAGTGAAACACCTTATCTGGCTTCATAAATTCCTTTATTTGAATAAAAAAAGTTGGATAAAGAAGTGAAACAAAAAGTGGACAAACAACAGAAGTGGGAATATTTAGTTTTACTCAAGGCAAGAGCCTGGTGTGAAACCTCTGCATGCGGTGGCATGAACAGTTACAGTCCAGACTGAGCCCTAATTTATTGATACTGTATTGCTGAGACTTTGAACTGTTTTATTGCTTCCCCAAGGTGAGGCTTTGTCCCAGTTTCTCAGTGGGCTCATTTGAAGTTTTCTTTATGGATTTATAGCATGTGATGTGGACAGTCTGATGAAATGTCCCATTGCACTAACAGGCGTATACTTCATGGTAAGGCACAGATGACATATTTTGTTGTTATTTTTCTTTGCATGTGGCTAATTGCTCCATGTAACTGAGGTCAGTTGTGTTAAATCTGCAGCTGCTGACCATGCATATGTAATAGTCACACCACACAGACTGACAAACAGACTTGTTTCAGTATGAGGCAATAGTCTGCAGTCCCAGTTGCTACTGCAAACATCCATTTAGCTGCCGCTGAGAGCAGGAAAAGATGTGAAAATAAACACACATGTTTACAGAAACAATTGAAAATGCCAAACCCGTCTTTACACGGGGCCAGACAGAACCAGATTATGATGTTTGAACCTTTCAGTATGCGGCTGCTAGTCCACACAGTGAGTTAATGATTTAAGGAAGCATTTGAAATGACATGAAAAGGTATGTTTGCTTTGCCATTTGGCTGATAGCAGAGTTGCACCTGATCGGTTTAATAAAAAAATAAGCCACTGTGCAATTATAGAACAGTCTGTGACACTTAAGCAGAAAAAGGATTATGTACCTCTGAGTGTGAATATTCATTTGTTTTATTACTGGACATCCCAGAAAAACAGCTGGAGGATTGCAGGAGGCCAGTTGATGGGTGAGGACTGATTATGGGTGGATCTCTGACGTCGCTTCATGTTGTTGGTGTTTGCTTCTTTTCAGTTTCAGCGGAGCAGATCAAAAACCTTCACACAAGATTTCAGCAGCTCAGTGGCAATGAAGAAACAATAAGGTAAATGTTCAAAACAAACCAGCACACGTGTTTGGCAGATCTTTACTGGTCAGCTTGCACGTGGCTTTAGTGGAGGGCGTTCAGTCTTGGCTGCTGAAGATGAAACACTAGTAGGTAGCATGGTGGCTGCAGTGGATTGTGGGTATTTCTGGTATGTCTGGCACAGGCACAAACAAGCAACATGTGTTGACACACACAAAGTGAATTACTACTAATGCAGACACGTTAGGTAAATATAATATGTTGATGTATTGTAAGCGTAAAGCCAACTCACACTGTATGCACACAGTCGGTCATGTGTCAACCCGGCATTGCCACACTGCCATGCTGGTAGCGACGAACCATGAAATTCTTTCTAAAAAAACAAAACAAAACGCGGAACAAATGTTTTACGGGTATTTCTCCTGCCAGTTTATATTTAGACACAGACATTGTTCACACTACTTCTCGTACATTCTGTCTAGTATTACTTGAAAGTGTAAGAACATGCTGACACTGTACATTAGTGTCTGTTTTATGGTAACAGAGTTTCTCCTGTCGCACTGCAGCAGAGAAAGCCTGGAAAACATATCGGCCCTTTCCAACAACCCAATCAGAAAGCAAATCATTGAGGCATTCTTCGATAAAAGGTGGGTGCATTCACATCACACCACATTCTGTCTGTTCTCCATATGGGTAATTTGCATTTCACTTCATATTATTGGAACACTTTCCAAACTAAAGCCCTGTTTATTATGTGATCAGTCAAAAGTTGACAAGTTCTAACATCCATATTTACCAAAGGTCAGACTGTCCACACAGTGACATTTATCAACCTACATGCACAGCAAATATTAAATGTAAGATATCTGCCTTTATCTGCTGTCCATACAATGGACATTTGTTTTCTTAACTGGAGGAAGTCTTCATAAACAAAAGCCGTAAAAGCAGCAATAAAGCTTCCTTTGTGCTCTACGTGTTGAATTACAATTCTATTACGGTAAATGAAATCCTCAAATAAAGGACAGGTTCAGCCTCTTGGGAAATAATCATTTGCAAGATGATTGATACCACAGCTGCTGCTGGTAGGTTACATTTGTCATACATGCAGAAACAACAAAAATGAGTGTGTAAGGTGATTAGTTAAATATCAAATGAGTCCAAATGTTATGGCCTTACAATTTTGTATCACTTATTTGCTCTAATGTTAAACGAAAAAACGAACAGTTTAGATTTGCTATATATAAAAAAACATTTAAACTCAGTCATTGCTGAGATTAAAATCTTTTATTTTTTCAGTGCTATGTATGTTTACCTTTATTTTTGATGACAGACTCAGTCCTGTCTTACATGGATGACTCCGTTGTCCACAAATTGTTGGAGAAATATTCTGCCACACCTCAGATACTTTTTTTTTCCAACTTCTTGCTGGAGGGGTTCATTTGCTTCGCTTTTCTCTTTAAAATATTTGAAAGGTCTTCCGTTGGATTCAAGTCAGGCGATATATTTGTCCAGGTCGTAGCTTTCACTGTTTTCTTCCTTAGAAAGCTCTTGTGTGATTTTGGGAGTGTGCGTTGCATCGTTATCAGGCTGTAATATTCCTCTTCTGTCAAGCTTCTGCTGACTGGGACTCATCCTGTCAGCCAGTATTTAACTATATCACAGGTGCTCATGGTGCAGTCTATAAATTACATCTCCTCAACAGCTTTTGCACTCATGCGTCCTCATATCATCCCACTCCCGTCTCCGTGCTTCGCTGCCAGGACGATGCGTTCACTGTGTTAGTCCTGGCCTACTTCACACTAAACATGCTGGCTCTCAGCTGAGCTGAAAGAATTGGACTTGGGTTGACAGGGTTTCTTCATGAACGCTGTCGAGACGTTGACATTCTTCAGAGTCCTTCATACTGACTGAGCTGTTACAGAAAGTTTGATGTCTATTTATAGCCCTTGTGCCAAATCTGAAGCATTTGCTCATCTGTTTTTCAGAGCTAGATTGTGCAAGTAATGCACTTTTTGTAGTAGCATTTTAGGCCACTGCAGCTCTGATGAATGGTGCTATTGCTTGTTCTAAACCTCCTGATTACCTAAACCTAAACCTCCTGGTGCATCTCTGTTCCTACTGATTGTTAGTTGGTCGCTGATCTCACTATATGCTTTTCTATTTTATAGAACCAGATTTTTCAGCTCCTCTGACAGTTCGTTATATATCTGGGGCCATGATTCAGCCATACATATAGACACAGGACATAAGTCATAAACTCAACAAGTTCTAGTGTTGACAGGACATTTTATAACAATGCTGATGCAGTTAGGGTGATTGGAAATCAGGTGTACCCAAATTTGTTTCTGTAATTTCTAATTTGAGTGTCGCTAATCACAAGTAGCTTTTGTTGCACCGAGTTCCTACTTTGTATTTTCAATAGTCTTTGTCTTTGATTTGTCATTACGTGAAACACTCAACTTATGAATGACATTGCACACACCGTAGGAGTGGCTTTATTACTTTAAAGTCTAAAGGTATTTGTTTCTCCGCGTACTGAGTTTGTGCAGTGAGTCACCTTTACTGGTATTGTTATATTTGTTGTTATTGTACTGTTACTATGAACGAGGTTAGCATTGGTCTTAAGAGGAGAGTTAAGGTGCACTAACTCTAAGAGCGTTCACATTTGTTTCATCAAATCATTCTTTTTGTTTCGGCATTTGAAAACAACAGTAGAAAGGAAATACACTTAAAACAAAATATGTATTTGGTCTTTTAACAAGAGGAAGCATTAAAACTGACCGTGTCATTGCTATGAAGAGACAGTTGTTGACTTTTTAAAGCCAGTAGTTGTCATGTGTTGGAAAGTGCAAATGTAACAAAACAAACCACAATGCAGACTGTCCAATGAAAAAAAAAGCCGTCTGTGAGCACATGTGACTTCTGCACACAAGTCATGTGCACAAGTGGGAGAAAAAAAGGAACAAACAAACAAAAAAGTAAAAATCAATGAGCCTTTTTGCTTTTGTTTTGGACTGTTTGAAATAAGATTCTAGAGGCATGATTGCATGATGGGGCTTCATATTTTCTGACTTTACAGCAATTGTTGAAAAAAAAAATACTCCAAACTGGATACAAATGGTCTGTTTACAACTTGAGGAAAATACTGGTACTTCAACAAGCTGTACTGTGGGGTTTTATATTTTATTTTGCATCCCTTCATCCTTTCCTGATTGTGTTCTGTAATGTACAGCACTTTGTGATACATGCCATGTATGAAAAGTGCTTTATAAATAAAGTTTGATTGATTGATACTGGTTGAATTTTAATCCTCGTTGCCTAAACGTTGATTTCGTTGGACTGTGACCCAGGAACCAGCATCAGAATGAGGTGGGCACCTTCCAGGAGATATCCTTCGAGCAGTTCCTCATGGTCATGTCCCACTTCCAGCCTCCAACTTTGAAAACGACGGAGGAGGAGAAGGAGGCTATGAGGAAAGAGAAGCTTCGCTGTAAGTCATTTCCACCATTGATTAATACGAATACTACATGTAGCACTGCGTTTATTGATGACAAATCATTGATGTAAATCTTCTTTATCAATCACCACCAACCTGCTGGACAGAGTGTGTTGACAGCATGTCAGCTATTACGCTGGAGAAGCTCATAAGTATTCATGACTTGGCTGGGAACGTAGCCAGGACAGGCGCTTTACAACCACTACCGTCACGAGTAGAACGAGATGATTTGTAGCTACAGAGCTGGGACTCATGTTAAGCGACAGATATCGCTATAACATTTGCTAATAATCCATTTGTTGATCTGTTCCAGGAGTTATTTCACAACGATGGGTGGTAGTTTACATTTTTTTGGTGTATCTTCCTCCCCTCAAGCTGCCTTGTGTGATTTATGACCTACATTTCCCAGAATTCCTTCTACAAACTGAACAAAATTGAGTAAAAGGGCATTTACTTGGTGCAAGAGTCACATGTGTTGCAAGAGTTACAAATCTGTAAATGTGAAGATGCACAATTTAAACACGCTATCATCATTAACTGAAATGACAGTCGCCTGGATCAGTTTTTTTGTGTTTTGGCCTTGTTAAAGCTGAAATATAACCTAAGGGTTCCGTTTTTAAGATAATTTCAGTAAAAAGAAACTGTCTTCGTACACATCCTGGAGCAAAGTTGTCAAAGTAAAGTGAATATATTGACACAGCATTAATTTAGGCATGGTCTCAGTAGACTCTAAAAGCTGTGTTTTAAGTTACTCCTTGTACATGCGATTGGGAAAACACACATAGGAGGGAGGTAAATATAAAACATGTGGTGCAGACAGTGCTTAACACAGATGAAAGGATGTAAATTTTGGTCCTGGTGTCTCATGAGAGCTCACTGTGGGTCTCTAATTGGAGCCACAGTTCTTCCTCAAATTGCGAAATATCTTTAGCAGCCCTGGATTCTATTTTTTTTTTTCTTTTTTTCAGAAGGAATTCTCTTTTGCTTCTATTTTGAGTTGTATTATGTGAGGGCTGTGAGGCCGACTTCACCAGGGGGGCTGTAGGACATTTGCAGAGGGGTAATGGAGCATGATACTGAATGAGCTGAGAGGGAGCAGGAGCATTGCTGCTGCTGCTCCAAAACCAACGGCTAGTTTAGTCTATTGATTTGATCCAGAGGTTAACAGATGGAGCTGTGATGGATATTGCACTTTAATTCCCTGACTGACTAATAAAAACTGACTCTCTGTAGTAACGTCCATCGTGAGCAAACGTCACACAAAAAGACGCTCGTTAGAAATCCCTGAAAATCATCTGATTTCTTTTTTTGTGTGATAGCAGTCGGCCCTGGATGCACTGCAGACACAAAGTTAATATCCTTTTAACTGCAGCTTACTAACAATGCCTGCCCTGACACTGAA